TGAATTGAGGAACGATATTTGTAAAACGCGAACTCGTTTGCTCTAACGCGATTCCACTCGAACGGTTGTTGTGGCTTCAGTTCACGTTCGACATCACATGTTCAATTGAGTTATGTGTTTTGTTTGTGAACAATTGCAGAAATAATGTATGTAATATTTATGTATACAGTATACCTATATATTATAAGTAAATTGTAAAATTTTACATAAAAGAGAAAATCAAATTACATAGCGTTTTACACCCGCGCTCTCTCTACATCACACACAGTGTTTACAGTTCACGTTCGACATCACATATTCAATTGATTTATGTGTTTTGCTTGTGAAGAATTGCAGAAATAATTTATGTTATATTTATGTATACAGTAAACCACTCACAAGGTCCTACAGTACCACTAATTATTTTATACTGAAACTTACGTTTGGTAAGCTGGATTAAAATGAAGATTACCGGTATATTAAAATAATAAAAATGTATTATAAACCAGTCTAACATACCGTAATAAACACAGCTGCTATTATCATCCCCCCCCCCATCCCCATTTGCCAGTGACAAGAAAGGGAAAGTGACCTTGACTGACCGCCTGTGGCTATTTTTAGCCGTCCTTGTGTTCGGAGGTGGTCAGTAATGCATATCTGTATATTTACTGATCATAATACTTATCTCTTATAAATAATTCATTTAAAATTTATTTTTTTGCAAAGAATATTCAGTAAATGACTGCATTAATTCTTGAAACTACCTACAATGGTAAATTTAGGATATAAATAATGAACAGAAGTCACGTCATGGATTCGGAGTTTGGTCCTTAACGATCACCATAAATGTAGCTTCCCTTTTTCGCGAAACACGTATATAAATTAAAGAAAATACTTGCAGTATATTTAATATATTACAGTATATTATATATAAATAAATAAACAAATAAATTCAAATTCCCTTATCATCCTGTGTCATATACAGAAATACTTGAGTCCCTGAGCGAGTACACAAAAAGAAAACGGAGGACTAAGACATCCTGAAGTGGATAGAGAACGGACATCTCTACTGGGGGACTCAAACGTTTCTCATGTTTTGTGGGCGCTCTAGCATAATATGAATATGTAAATTACAATTTACATATATATATATATATATATATATATATATATATATATATATATATATATATATATATATATATATATATATATATATATATATATATATATATATATATATGTAAATTGTAAAAATTTAAATAAAAGAGAAAAACTAAATACGTTGCGTTTAAAGTGTTAAAGTGTACTGTACAGTGTTGTGGCTTGGCTCAATGTTTACAGTTCACGTTCAACATCACTTGTTCAATTGATTTATGTGTTTTGTTTGTGAAGAAATACCTGTACAGTATATGTTAATTGTAAAATTTTAAATAAGAGAGAAAAACAAAATAATTAGCGTTTAAAGTGTACTGTACATTGTGGCTTGGCGCGGGGTTATGCAGTGTTTACAGTTCACGTTCGACATCACATGTTCAATTGATTTATGTGTTATGTTTGTGAAGAATTGCAGAAATAATTTATGTAATATTTATGTATACAGTATACCTGTACAGTATATGTAAAATGTAATATTTTAACTAAGAGAGAAAAACAAAATACATAGCGTTTCAGACCCGCTCGCTCTGTTTACTCCACACTTTGTTTGAAACACGTGAAGTTTTTAAGTGTCCTCAGTGAATTCTGATTACTGGTTCTCCAATTTTGTGACTATGGAAAAGAAGAATATCTCTGGGAAGCACTCTGGTGATCGCATTTCCGGTGGTGATCGTAAAAGAAAGGCTATAAGACTTGAAGAAAAGCTTGATGTTTCATGACTCCTCAGCCTCAACATCACCCTTATCCCCCATCAAGTTATATTCATATTTTTTCAAGGTAAAGTGTAACATTTACTGTATGATTTCATTATTAGATATGAATGTAACATTTATTTAGACTGTGCTATCCTTTGTGTTAGGCTAACTACGAAATTTTTTTTCGATTTGGAGTAATCTGCACCTAACCCTATTTTCTCCATAAGCCCTGTTATTTCTATTACACGAATTTCTATAACACGATGTTTTACAAGAACACTACTATCGCGTTATAGCAGAACTACCTGTACTGTACATTATGCTTCCAAAATCTTCCCGGGCGGTAGTATATCCCTGTTTGGTAGCTGCCTACTACCTATACACAAATTTTAGTAATATTACTTTGATACAACATGATAAATTAGACAAACAATGAAAATAAACAAACAAAAGTTATTTACAAAGACCTTCTCTCTGAGAACAGAGGGTAATAGATGGAGAGGAGATAAGAAGGCTATTTATAGCCCGTCTTTGTGTAGGAAGTCGACCGCACTATAAATAATTCATTTAAAATTTATATTTTTTACATAGAATATTCAGTACATGACTGCGATTATAAAATAGGCCGAGATATACAGTATGTAATATTTATGTGTGTGTGTGATGTAAACAGAGCGCTTGGCCTCTCTCTCTCTCTCTCTCTGTATGGATGGAATTCGTGGTTTAGAGTGAGTGATACGAATGTCGTAACATTACTAGGCTGAAGGCGCCTGAATACTACTTAAACACATCAAAACTATGTTATTGATCACTGTATAATAAATTCATTCACTCATAATTTCAAATTCCCTTATCATCCTGTGTTATATACAGAAGTACTCGAGTCCCTGAGCGAGTACACAAAAAGAAAACGGAAGTGGATAGAGAACGGACAGCTCTACTGGGGGACTCAAACGTTTCTCATGTTTTGTGGGCGCTGTAGCATAATATGAATAATATGTAAATTACAATTTACATATATATACTGTATGTAAATTGTAAAAATTTAAATAAAAGAGAAAAACTAAATACGTAGCGTTTAAAGTGAACTGTACAGTGTTGTGGCTTGGCGCGGGGTTATGCAGTGTTTACAGTTCACGTTCGACATCACATGTTCAATTGATATGTGTGTTTTGTTTGTGAACAATTGCAGAAATAATTTATGTAATATTTATGTATACAGTATACCTGTACAGTATATGTAAATTGTAAAATCTAAAATAAGAGAGAAAAGAAAATACATAGCGTTTTAGACCCGTGCGCTCTGTTTACTCCACACGTTCCGTTTGAAACACGTGTGAAGTTTTTAAGCGTCCTCAGTAAATTCTGATTACTGTTTCTCCAATTTTGTGACTATGGAAAAGAAGTATATCTCTGGGAAGCGTTCTGGTGATCGCATTTCTGGTGGTGATCGTAAAAGAAAGGCTATAACACTTGAAGAAAAGCTTGATGTTTCATGACTCCTCAACATCAACCTTCTCCCCCATCAAGTTATATTCATATTTTTTCAAGGTAAAGTGTAACATTTACTGTATGATTTCATTATTAGATATGAATGTAACATTTATATAGACTGTGCTATCCTTTGTGTTAGGCTAACTATGAATTTTTTTTTCGATTTGGAGTAATCTGCACCTAACCCTATTTTCTCCATAAGCCCTGTTATTTCTATTACGCGAATTTCTATAACACGATGTTTTACAAGAACACTACTATCGCGTTATAGCAGAACTACCTGTATAAAACTGAAGAAAATAAGACCTTGGTAGTAGCTGTAGTAAAATTAATGTGGTTGTTTTAAGTAATGTTATTTAATGTTAATAAATGGAACAATAGAAGTAGCTAACGATAATGGTAAAGAAAAATGAGAGATCGCATATGTAAGTGCGCATGCGCACACGTGAAAACACATCGTCATTACTTTACGTAAGAATATGAAAGCAACACTTATTTACTGTTCATATATATTTTAATTAATGTTTCTGAATTTGTTTTTATTGAATTAATGTTTGTGTGTGCAAAATTAACAATACAATTTATTAATAATACGTGGAATATTAGAGGAGACGAGACGGCTGCCGGCATTGTTTATGTTAAAGCTTACAAAACCAGTGACTGATTGGTTCTACATATAAAACTGAAGAAAATAAGACCCTGATTTTAGCTGTAGTAAAATTAATGTAAAAAAATTAATATGGTTGTTTGAAGTACCTGTAATGTTATTTAATGTTAATAAATGGAACAATATAAGTAGCTAACCATTTATGGTAAAAAAAAAAAGTGAGTGCACGTGTGTAAGTGCGCACATGTGAAAACATATCGTCATTACTCTACATAAGAATATGAAAGCAACACTTATTTACTGCTCATATATATTGAAGGGTTAAATGTTGTACTCTGTATAGACAAGCAGAGAGAGAGAGAGAGAGAGAGAGAGAGCAGCCGAACTGCCGGATGTAAACAAACCTTAATTTCCCGCAGCTTTGTTGTTGTTTTTTTAAGGGGATTAGCCCACCCGGGCATAGGTCACTGACCCACATTGGGGCCTGAGGGGCAAAAATTTAATACTCCTGTAATAATAATAATAATAATAATTCAGATTAAAAAAAAAGAAGAAAAAAAGCTGCCTATCTACCTATTGGACAAACTAAAATCATTCCGGACCACGGGCGTTTCCGGACCACAGAATGCCGGACTAGAGAGGTACAACCTGTAATTCCAAAACAAACCCAACCAATAATGTATTGTATTTACATTACATAGTTAACAAAATGTTTAGTGTATACAATACATGAAAACTTAATAAAGGATAGTACTGTATATACCGTACAGGTTTACTGAAGCATCATCAAACCAGGGATTTTGACAGTGAACACAACCCCTTTTACTATGGAACTTGTCTGCTCAGTTTCACTTATAATGTGCAGTACTGGCCTTTCAAAAGAATATGTATACTATAACTACAGTATTACAGTATAAATTATCTCAAGAGTACAAAAGAGTACTGAACAGGTATCCATAACAAAAGCTATATGAAACAATACCTCTCAAGAATCTGAAGTTACAATTAAAATTATCAAAAGTGAGCCAGGCTAATTACCTTGTACATTAGATCATGTGACTTCTTACCTGTTCCGTGGCTGTACGTTTCCCTTCAAGAATCTTGTGAATGATAGGAATGACAAAGGCACCAGTCTTCCCTGATCCAGTTCTTGCCCTGGCCAATATGTCTTTCCCCTCTAATACATATGGAATAGCTTTCTCCTGGATTAAAGTTGGTTCTGCCCATCCTAATCTGGCAATTGCCTGTAAATAAAATATGGTATACTGTACTGTTTCTATCACTGTTCTCAACACCTGACAGTATTGTTACAAATGTCTAACCTATCCTCAGAAAATTGTGGCGGTTACAAACACTAACTTCACTAAACCTAAGTGAAGTAGGAAAAGAGAGCCATAACTCAAAAATTAAACATTTGCACAAGAAATGGCTATCACGAGTGCTTAGAGCACAAAATACACGTGTGGCTATATATTAGCCACAAAATCTACACATGGCAGACAGAGCAACTCCTCCAAACAGCATATTTAAAAAATCAGATAGTTAATAGTGGAGCAAATTGCTAACACCAGGAGTTGTTTGATTTTGTTCATTTTTTCCACAGTTGTCCTTTGGATGATAGCAACAAAAATTATACAACTTTTTATTTAATTAAAAATATTTTTCTCTCTATCTATGATCTTAAATCACCTGTAGTAGGCAAGGCATGAAGGATGAGGGAAATTGCAGGGTTAAACACAGATAAAATCTTATATGACACTAAAATATTGTTGTTGTTATTATTACTATTATATTTTCGCCCACCAGGCCCCGATGTGGGTCAGTGACCTGTGCCTGGGTGGGCTAAACCCGTATAAAAAATAAAATAAATAAATAAAAATAAAAAATCTACGTGCTTTGTACGTAAAGAAATTAATTATTTACCGTAAATATTATGCCGAAAAATTTGCCCTGTCCACACATGTTGTTACTTGTTGTCTGCTCTTAGTTTGTTTCAGTGAGTGATCATACTCTCACGTCCACAAAAAAACATAAAATTTCACCATGCCGCTTCAAGAAATTTTATCCACATTCATTGGTTTACCTGATATCAAAGTATTGTAAGTTCTTTCTGCTTAATATGCCGAGGGGTCCAGGTAGGTTTCTTTGGTTAGGTTGTTTAGGTTATATGTATTAGGTTCTGTGGAAAAAATTAATGAAATCGAATAACTCCTTCTGGTTTTACCCGTCTGTCCCACCTTTACCAAAAATCGAATGTAATATTACACTAAATGTTTTATTCATGAACTTTTTATCAGTTTCACAAGGTTGGGAAGCTTTATTGTTCTATGTAAAAATATCCTGAAGTTGACAACAAGGGTGTGCCACAGTCATGAAGTATTATCCCAAGATCTACAGTACATTGAACTTAAGCCTCAACTAATTAGGTTAGGTTAGCTCATCAGTGTCATTAGCCTCAAGTAATCAGAATGAAACCAGGACTAATAGCTGAAGTAAAAGTTTGTAACTGATGTCACATGCTGAGCTTGAACCATGCTGAAAATGTTCTGGGCAAGTGCAGTTTGATCCAAGGTTAACCAAACCTAATCTGACCTTAACTAACCTCATCTTTTATTCCGACGGGTAACATCAACACTTACTAGTCAATTTATAATAGAGGATATAATTTGATAGTTTTTTTTCCCCAATGATAAGTTCAGACAAAAACAATAAGATTTTCAGCTATGACACTCTTGGCAGTAAATTACCAACAAATCGTAAGTTGAAAATCAGAAAACTACTAGAATCTCAATGTATTTTTGTATTTGTTGCCAACAATCAAATCTTGTGATTTTTTCTTTCCAATCAATAGTTCAGACAATTCTAAGCCACTGTTCTTCTATATGGCGTTTCCCTTGCAAACGACCTGGAACAGAGATACTATTTAATATGCAGGGGGGTACAGGGGGTGGAGCCCACCGGTTATGATGTTAGGTAAGGTTAGGTTGGTGCTATCAACCACCCATTATCTTGGTTATGGGTAAATTTCAAGAAAAGTTTTATACTGTAAAAGAAAATTGTCTTGATCGTCTTGGTTTTATCTGAACTTAAGGTATTATCTTGTTTCGGTTATCCGGGGAATCTTGAAAGGGGATCGGGGCCGGTTAGGTCAAAATATAGTTCCTGGGTTCTGAGGTTAGGTTACATTAGGCTAGGTTAGGTTAGGATATCTAAATACAGGTAGTCCCCGACTTACGACTGCTTGGGCTTACGTCCATCGGTATTTACGACCTGCTCTGACCTTACAACCGTCAGGACTTACGACCGCCGCAGTTGTGACCATTTTTTTTTTCAAATGACGCACGCATTTTATATACCGAAACGTTTCCAGTTAATGTAGTCTCCATATATACAGTATTACCCCGCCTAACGCGGTTTCACTTAACGGGTTTTTTCATATACGCGGTGCTTCACCAGAGCTGAACTTTCACTTAACATGGATTTTTTCCACATATACGCGGTGAGTGTCCGGCTCCAGACACTATTTTTAGATTTGCCCCACCCGCCACCCGCCACCATGCCTGACTGCCTGTTTTAGCTCATAAAATTCATACAAATTAACCGGCCAGAATATAATTTACATTGCTGGAATTCTTATAACTTGGTGATCATTTTGAATATAAACATCATATATTTTGCAATAGACATACAAATTTTAGATAAAATGTTTTCTCTGAGTAAATATGTTATCTTTTGTGCAAAATATATGACATTTATATTCAAAAGATTCCTGGTCTTACAAGGAATCCAGCAATGTCAATTATATTATCCTAACTTTAGTTTGAGGTATTATTTATTACTAAAAAGTTAAATACGTATTCTGGTTTCCCCACACATCTCCTTGGGACGGTTGGTGGGGGGTGGGGGGGAGGGATGGACCGACCGACCATCTGTTACCCTGTGAAGAATATTTTTTTTTATTAACTGAAGATATTTGTTTTAGCTCATAAAATTCATACAAATTACCCGGCCAGAATATAATTTACATTGCTGGAATTCTGACAATTTGGTGATCATTTTGAATATAAACATCATATATTTTGCATTAGGTATACAAATTTTAGATAAAATGTTTTCTCTGAGTAAATATGTTATCTTTTGTGCAAAATATATGACATTTATATTCAAAATATTCCTGGTCTTACAAGGAATCCAGCAATGTCAATTATATTATCCTAACTTTAATCTGAGGTATTATTTAATACAAAATGTTAAAATTTATTTTTTTCACCCACTCTTTCTCTTGGTGGGAGGTGGGGGGGAGGGTTGGGACTGACCGCGCGGTTGGAAGAGGGGGGGAGGCAAGGTGGGGTACTTTGATTGACAGATAGTGTCCTGAAGAATATTTTTTTTTTATTAACTGAAGATATTTGTTTTAGCTCATAAAATTCATACAAATTACCCGGCCAGAATATAATTTACATTGCTGGAATTCTTATAATTTGGTGATCATTTTGAATATAAACATCATATATTTTGCATTAGGCATACAAATTTTAGATAAAATGTTTTCTCTGAGTAAATATGTTATCTTTTGTGCAAAATATATGACATTTATATTCAAAATATTCCTGGTCTTACAAGGAATCCAGCAATGTCAATTGTATTATCCTAACTTTAGTTTGAGGTATTATTTATTAAAATTTAGTGGTTTTCCCCCAAAAATTTCTCACGAGAGGGAAGAGCCAGCAGTGTAGTGTGAGAAGAGGGGGAGGGAGTTGAGTCCATTATTTGAATGGACATTAACTTGGCGACTGTATTTCTCTATTTCTCTTAAGTATTAATTGTGTGCATGTACCATCATAAAATTAAGATGTTATTTTTACTACAACATAGTTATGTGTCTTCAAAAAGTGGAGTTTGGGGGTCGGGCTGGTTTCTATTGGAATTAATCCCATATGTTCTGTTGTTCACTTAACGCGGATTTCACTTAACGCGGGACCCTCTGGGTTCTATTGACCGCGTTAAGTGGGGTACAACTGTAATTAGAAAATTATGGGGGCCCCGTGTGCATTCAGCTGACTACATTAAGGTAAAGTGTTCAGTCTTTCCCCACACTCCTCTCCTCTTCCCCCAAGACACAACGATCCAAGGCGGCCAGATTCCTTGGTCACTAATGGGAGCACTTGGGGGCACGTCCTTCTCCAAGCTGGGTCAGGTAGCAACACACTACTTCCGGGTCATGTTCCACACACTCAGCCCTATAACCTGATTATGATTTGCAATTACAACCAATATGGCTTTTGAGTTGAGCAATGTATTTTTCTGATGGTTTAGACATTTTTAAAACACTTTTCTTTAATGACATTTCTGTTGCATATGACCTTACCTAAGCTCCTAACCAGGGGCTATCCATGTCATTTGTGAGGGAAATGTCATAGAAGAAAAGTGTCTTAAAAATGTTTAAACCATCAGAAAAATACATTGCTCAACTCTACAGCCATATTGGTGAAACTGCAATACCGAATTTTGCTAGGAATTTTCTGATTTTCACCTCCAGATATCTCAGTTAGCTATGGGTAAAATGTGCTAAGTGTCAAAGCTGAAAATTGTCTTGTTTTTGTCTGAGCTCACCATCAGAAAAAAACGAGTTATGTCCTCTACTATAAATTGCCCCACACCTCAAGCTGTCAATTATGTAATGAAATAACTCGCACCTAACTGGTGAGTAAATTTTCACCTGTTGCCACTAACTGAAATCGAAGCTGAAACTATGTTTTTCCGATGTTTTTTTGATGTGTTATGAACGAATTTGACCATTTCTGTTGCAAATCAATAGTTTCTGAGGATCTAGAGATTTGCTATAAAAATTAAGGTAAAAAGCGTTCAAAATACATTAAAACCCATTCGGAAAACAGTTTTGAGACAAACCTAACGTAACCACCAAACCTATGCCTAACCTAACCTAATCGGGGGGCTCCACAGTCATTTGATGTTCTGGGTGTGTACCGGCGGCAATTATTTATGACTTAGCCGTTAGTTTAAAAAAAAATTTGAAATGCCACAATTTAACACTGTTATTACAAGTATAGTGGACACTCGTAGTTATGGTAAATGTGTTAAAAAGTGTGTATTTAAAAGTTAACCTAACCTTACTAGTAAAATAGCAGATTACAGCAACCAAAGAATCCGATAAAAAAATATATAAATAAATTCTAATATTTTTTTATATGATTGGTTCAAATCTGACATTCGTTTTTATCGAAAATCACTCGTTTTGGATTTAGTCCCCCCATCCCTTTCCTCCATCTAACAACAATGGGGGAAAGTGTGGAAATTCAGGGTTCTGGGTGGGGGAGAGCCAAAGCGAGTGATTTGGGTAGAAGCGAATTCCAAAATTGTCCAAATCGCAACAAGAAAACATCAGAACACATTTTGCAACAGAAAATCTGTTATTTACGAAAAAAAATAGTAAAATTATAGTTCTATCGATTGCGTGTTCTGAATTCCCGGTACTCTGTGCTTGCTGACTTATACAATGTAACCAAACTAAGCCTTACCTAACCCCCCTAGCCCAGACGCTATGTAATAACCCAGAGTCACATGGTCAGCCTTCACGAGAATATAAGGAGCCGTTACAGTATTTCTTACCTTACTCAGAGTCAGGGTGAGAGTCTGAGTCAGGGACCAGAATGTGTCGTGGGTCCCTCTGTTCTCGCTCTGATTATTTTTATTAAGAAATAATGCAATAAACTTCCAATAATCTAAATCACACCCAGCACATAATGGCTCCATGTTGTAACTGATTTTTAATTTCCCACATCCTACCACCTACGCCGAAAACTGAATGCAAATTGGTCGAATCAAAGGTTGAGATTTTTATTGGATTTGATCGGCTGCCGCTCCCCTCGATTTGATTGGCGGCCGCCCCCAGGCACATGCGCGGGAGGTAAGCAAACGTACAAACACACACAATTTGAGCAACAGCATAGGGGCATCAGGTGCTCTGATTTTATTCTTATTAAAATTCAATAATTTCCTTATTATCAATTTGGGTAAAGGTGTAGGCAATGGCTACCACCAGATGGAGTTTGTTGAATTGGTTGAAATTTTTTCTGTACACTAATATATTAAACATAAAAATGGAAACAATACATAGCACCTGACCTAACATAGCCATAGATTGGGTATGTTAGGTCAGGTTTTACTAGGTTCTATGCATTATTAAACACAGAATTCACACTAATATCAAATTATTAAATACAAACTTAATAAACCCATTTGTGGCGGGAGCCACGAATTACCCAAATGTACCCAAAAGTATAGCAAATAAGGGTAAAATCTTAACGAATATCTGTTATACATACACAAAACATGTTTAATAATATTTTTAGTGTAATTTTGTAAAAATAATTTGTAAGACGAAATAATAAACAGCGAAATACTTTCAGTATTGGCGAATGCTAAATTCCAAAGAGTTCGTGAACAAGGGAGATAACTCAGATCCATCGTGATGCACTTCGCTAACCTAACCTAACGAAAAGTAAATCCTACGGCTATGTTAAATACCCCAAAGTAACAGAAACATCGGTAATTATATCTCCATTTTGGATAAGTGACTCTTTGGAATTTAGCGTTTTTTGCTGTTTATTATTTCATTATTTTGACTACATTTCAATGAAAACATTATTAATCAGGTTTTATTGATGTAAAGCATATATTCGTTAAGATCTTACCCTGATTTAATATACTTTTGGGTACTTTTGGGTAATTCGTTGGACCGTTTGTGGCGTCACAAATGCACCTAGAGACCTAACTTTAATGCCATAACATCAGTGTTCGCCATGTTTTTAACCAGTAATTTCCCTCATCCTTTATGCCCTGCCCACTAACAAGGAATTTGTTATCATAGGATAGAGTAAATGAAAAAAATCTTGAAGATACTTAAAATATTAAAAAGTTGTCATTTCTTTTAATATACTTAAAATCATCAAAACAATAAGTATAGGAAAAATGAAGAAACTAAAACTCCTTCTGGTGGTAGCCATTGCCTACACCTTTACCTCAATTTGCGAAGGAAGTGCAATATAAGAAAATTATCATAGAAAAAATAGTTCGATCGATTGAGTGAAGTGAATTTCCGAAATTCTGTGGTTGCTGTAAACTGCAATATTACCCAAATATCGTTCTCGCGTTGTATGCCGGTAATAGACAAATAGCCAATCAGAGTAAACAATGTGTATTTGCTCGAAACAAGGCTAATACATTACTTGGGTTCATACAAAGGAGTGTTAGTTACAAGACAAGAGAGGTTATCCTAAAACTATATCTTTCGCTTGTGAGACCTCACTCGGATTACACAGTTCAATTCTGGTCACCGTATTACAGAATGGATATAGAATCCCTAAAAAGAATACAGAGGAGAATGACAAGAACTAATCCCGGGCATTAGGAACCTTGAGTACAGAGACAGGTTAAAGCATCTTAATTTGCACTCCCTCAAGAGACGTAGAGCGAGGGGCGATATGATAGAGGTGTATAAATGGAAGTCAGGGCTGAACAAAAGTGATATTACAAAGGTACTCAAACTAGCCAACCAGGAGATAACTCGTAGCAATGGTTTTAAATTAGACAAATTTAGATTTAGGCGCGAAATAGGTAAACATTGGTTTGGAAATAGAGTAGTGGATGAGTGAAACAAGTTACCAAATATCATCATTAACTCGAATACCCTGGATAGCTTCAAACATACAGTAGGTTGGGTGGATATATGAGCAATAGGGGTTGGGTGTAAGTGGGACTGCCCAGTATGGGCCAATAGGAAAGCTTCAGTTTCCTCCATTCTTATGTTCTTATGAGTGCACTCGTGACAAAATAGCGTTAGTAAAAACTTAGCCCGTCACGAAGAAATATCCACTGCCTTTATATAAGGCCACCTACCTCAATAACCCGGTCATCAAGGCCCATCTCGTGGAACTGTAGTGTCTTCTCCTCACTCATTTTTCTCTATTTCTTCTTTGATTTTTGATGTTTTCACACTAAGATCTCTCTCAAATCACTTAACAAGAGTTCTTACTGTTTGTCAAGGCAGTTACTTTAAATCAAGTCCAATTTGTTAGAGTTTAACGTAACACAACCAACTACAGGCACTTGTTTACATCTTCACGTGTGTGCCTGTTGTGGTGTCGGTCGATGGTTCTTTATTATCATTTGACTCAATTTTATTCAGGAAGGAAAGTATACTTATAGAATTGCTCTTAATTTGTCAATAAGTAGTATAACGGACGGCCTCGTGGCTCTATAACATATCTACATGATTGTAGGTGAAAACTGCATCTTAACCTGCCCGTTGCTTACTCAGTGTTTGTCGAAGGATAACTATTAGTGAGTCTGACCACATGCCCAGGTAATTTACTTACCAGTGAAACTTAAAACTATAATAAGCAACACAATTATGGAATAATTTCAGTTTCATGAGCTTCAGATTTTTTTATAAAAACACAAATAGTTGGAGTAGTTTTTCATTTTCATTTCGAAAATATCTATTCTGGAGAAAGTAGTAGAAAGTAATGAAAATTAAAAATATAAGTATATTTAGGGCTCTGAATCGAGGTGAGAGACTCGCTTAACCTACCTTCGGCCATTATTACTGGACCTGAAAGGTCTAGTAGAGTCTCAATACAATACAGAGACTACTTGACCGACAACATGCTCCTTTTTTAAGACAACCTAATGAATGCTAACTGGGATCTTGTCTATGCCTCCGACAACCCTAACGTGAACAGTTGCAACTTCTCTTGCATCTTCAATGCTTGCTTTGATAAATGCTTCCCGCTCAAGACTAAGTCAGTGAAAACTGTATCCATTTCCAAACCCTATATCACAAGCGAAATTAAGATAATGATAAAAGAAAAACACAAACTCCAAAGGAAATTTGCAAAAGGACCCATAACTTTCGGTGATGCTTACCGAAGTATCAGAAATAGAGTAACTCAAGCAGTTAGAAATGCCAGACGTAGCAATTATACAAATAAGCACCAGGCAGCATCAGGCGACGGTGTTATGTTAGGCAACCGGGTTGGGTCGTGTTAGGTCTCTGTAACAAACCGTGTTCGGCATTCGGCATTCGGGCCTTCAATGTTGAGCGGCAGGAATTGGACAGTGATTACATAAGATCATCAAGATCGTCTTAGTGATGTGAAAGTGTAAATCGATGTAGGATTTTTAATGCTAGATGCGATTGTATTTTTGAAAACTCAATCTCCACTAAGTTGGAGGTTAGCGCCCAGGTCAGGAGGCCAACAGCCTACAACCACAAAATCACTGCCATATGACAAAGCTTTTATTTTATTTTTTACGGAGTTGTGGTCACAGCTGTGATAAAGGCCAACCAGAGAATGTAGTACCGTGATTTTAGGTAAATTAGTTCATAGTGTCATCAGTGACTGCGGAAGAGGTTGTAAATAATTTAAGTGAATACAAACTGGCAAGCAAGCTGGTAAGGCACCACTGCCAGCAGAGACCAAGTCGTGTCATAGGTGCCACAGGCACTTCAAATTTTATTTTGTTTGTGTGCTTTCTCAAGGACTGAAACTGTGTCTATAATACACCATTCACAGGGAGATACAGTGTACACAGTGATAGCACAAAGTCGTTGATGAGAACAGGAAAAGAAAGTATAAGGAAAGACTAGTTGAAAAAAAAAAAAATAAGAAATAAAATCAACAAGCTTGGCTATCCTTAAAGGTATTCTATTACAGCCCCAAAGAAAGTTTTATTTTATTTATCTCTGTTTCTAAAGGACTGAGTGGGTGTATAAAATCCGTTAATTATAGCAAAATGCAGAGTACACAGAGATAGCACATACAGTAAACACCGACAAATGCCGAAGTGAACTGAAAAGGAAACAGAAGACAACTCTAAAGGCAACAGGGCAGGTTTAAGCCAGACCAGAGGGCAGCTAAGCACTGTTCTTTTTATTTTCCTCTTTATTTTTAAATAGGTAGATCTATACACAGTCTGCACCCCACCCACAACAACAAACATGAGTATGATATGTGATTTCTGCAGGGGGACATCGGATATGGAGGATACAGGCCTCACTCTTACAGCGTTTAGGATGTTGCAAACTGCCGTAAAGCATGAAGGCTGTTGTTGGTATTGCCCTGTGTAGTCAAGGTGAATGAGGCGATTGCAAGCCATAGGAGAAAGAGTTTCCTAGGGACGAAAATGGATGAAGCTGGAGCCCTGCTGGTTGCCAAACTAGAAGAAGTTGGGAAAGGGATCCTTTCTAAGACTGAGGAAGTAGCTGACAGAATGGAGGTGGTTGCTAAGAGGAGTTATGCTGAGGTATTAGCAGGGCCACGGGAGGTGGCGGAGAGTAATGCAGGATCAGAACAGGTTCTACAGCAGCTAGGGACTCTGAAGAAGTGTGTCGAAGAAATGGCAATTAGCGGACCTACTGTTATGAGAGAAGAGGAACAACGGGAACGTCTCCAGGGCAGGAGCAATTTAATAGTTTTTGGAGTCCCTGAGAGCCAGGCAGAGGGAACCGAGAGTAACATAACACAATAGGATGCAGTTTAAAAATATTTGTACGGAGGTTCTGAAGATGCCATCAACCCCTCAGGATGTGAGGAGGCTGGGGCAAAAGCAAGGGGACAAGCCTCGCCCCCTCAGGATCACACTAGTGAGTGAGGAGGAGAAATGGGAGGCCGCACCTCGATTATGCAGTTCAGTTCTGGTGCCCCTATTATAGAATGGATATAAATTCACTAGAGTCGGTGCAGCGAAGAATGACAAAAATGATTCCGGGACTTAGAAACCTTCCATATCAGGATAGGTTAAAGAAACTTAACTTGCATTCCCTAGAAATACGAAGAGTGCGGGGAGATATGATAGAAGTATTTAAGTGGGTAAAAGGAATCAATAAAGGGGATATAGATAAAGTTCTTATAATATCCGAGCAGGATAGGACTCGGAGCAACGGATTCAAGTTGGATAAGTTTAGGTTTAGGAGGGAGATAGGAAGAAACTGGTTCACAAATAGGGTGGTGGACGAGTGGAACAAGCTTAGCAACTTTGTAGTAAGTGCGGGAACTCTGGAAAGTTTCAAAAGGAGGCTAGATAGATTCATGGATGATAGAGAGTGGTAGTAACTCTCGACAGGAGCTGCCATGCACAGGCCAACCGGCCTATTGCAGACTCCTTATTTTCTTATGTTCTTATGTTATTCGGCAGGCAAAAAACTTAGCAAGGAGCGAGGCATTTCGGAGTGTATTCATTCACCTAGATTGAACGGTAATGCAGAGGGAACAGCACAGGAAGCTCCTGCTGGGCTTGAAGCAGAAGAGGGAGGAGTCGAGGAGAAGCAGGGACGGGTGTACAGGGTTGTATTCAGGAAGAGAGTAGTGGAAGCAAGTGTGCCGACACAGGGCCGGGGGACAGCAGCGCACCCTCCACCCGCTCTACCCCCCACCCAGGAGGTGGCACCAACTTCGCCTATCAGCCGGGAGGAGGCGAGCGCCTTGTAAACAATGACATTTCTAACCACACCCTGCAAAATACAGTGTACTTAGCAAATGCTGCAGCTTCTGAGAAAGGGTGGGGGGTTACTACTAAGAGCAGAGACGTTACCGAGAACAAATTCGGGATTGAAGCTCATTTACACTCATACTGACATGTTCCTTGATAAGTACTGACATGTTCCTTGATAAGAGAGAGGAGTTTGAAACACTACTGAAGGTACACTGTAGTGGATTTCTCCCCTACAAACGCTGTTTCTCGCTGCATAGCCGACCCTGCGAATTCCACAGTGTGTGCCTCGTGGTCTAGGTCAACCAGCGCCGCCCACGGAGCGGGGGTCAACTACTAAGCCACGCCAACCCCCGCTATTTAAGACCTGACCTCGTGGTGATCTCTCTCTTTCTACCTACACCAACCAGCCAGCAACACCTGCTCCTCCTCCGCCTGCCTGGCGGTCCTCGCTCCCGCCGGCGAGCATGGCAACCACAAGCTGGTCCTCCTCTGAGCATCCTCACCAACCAGCTCTCCCTCTTCTTCTAGCTACAGCCGCCGGCGAGCAACACCTCCTCCTCTTCAGCCTGCCTGGCGGTCCTCGCTCCCGCCGGCGAGCATGGCGACCCACAAGCTATCCTCCTCTGAGCACCCTCACCAACCAGCTCTCTCTACATCACACTTGTAACCATGCTGCCTTCCCAGCACCAAGCTGCATTGTACATCCAATACAACATGTATACAGAGAGCACATTGTGAGTTTCCTTTCTCCATCCCATCCTGAGTGTGAACCAATATCTCGTACCCCACAAATGGTGACCCCGGAGTGACCATTTGTGGGGTATGGTGTTGGGGTTCGTGTTCACATTCAGGATGGGATGGAGAAAGGAAACTCACAATGTGCTCTCTGTATACATGTTAAGAACATAAGAAAACAAGGAGTCTGCAATAGGCCGGTTGGCCTGTGCATGGCAGCTCCTGTCGAGCGTTACTACCACTCTCTATCATCCATGAATCTATCTAGCCTCCTTTTGAAACTTTCCAGAGTTCCCGCACTTACTACAAAGTTGCTAAGCTTGTTCCACTCGTCCACCACCCTATTTGTGAACCAGTTTCTTCCTATCTCCCTCCTAAACCTAAACTTATCCAACTTGAATCCGTTGCTCCGAGTCCTATCCTGCTCGGATATTATAAGAACTTTATCTATATCCCTTTTTTTTATTCCTTTCACCCACTTAAAAACTTCTATCATATCTACCCGCACTCTTCGTCTTTCTAGGGAATGCAAGTTAAGTTTCTTTAACCTATCCTGATATGGAAGGTTTCTAAGTCCCGGAATCATTTTTGTCATTCTTTGCTGCACCGACTCTAGTGAATTTATATCCATTCTATAATAGGGGAACCAGAACTGTATTGGATGTACAATGCAGCTTGGTGCTGGGAAGGCAGCATGGTTACAAGCGTGATGTAGAGAGAGCTGGTTGGTGAGGGTGCTCAGAGGAGGACAGCTTGTGGGTCGCCATGCTCGCCGGCGGGAGCGAGGACCGCCAGGCAGGCGGAGGAGGAGGAGGAGGAGGTGTTGCTGGCTGGTTGGTGTAGGTAGAAAGAGAGAGATCACCACGAGGTCAGGTCTTAAATAGCGGGGGTTGGCGTGGCTTAGTAGTTGACCCCCGCTCCGTGGGCGGC